TTACGGTTATACAGTGAAAAGGCAGCACTGTTGTGGTTGTCCCAAAGAACTACAGATATTTTATTAGCTGTAGCCTCACTACTGCTGGCTGTGTCCAAAGAAGTGCTTTTCCCTAATTCATACTGAAATGGTACATTTAAATTTGCAGACCAGCTTCAGTGCCAAGGTATCATGCTCCTCAAGGAAAAATTCTGGTCACAGTAACATTAGCTTTAGTGAATTTTACACATGCCGAGCCTGTTATGATTAACCATCTTAACACAATGTTAAGAAGGCTGTCTAGGTGGAAAATTGTGAGTCATTGTTGGAACATAATTTGTATAAAATGAATGATTAGTATCTTTTTTACAGTTGTTCTCAGTGCCAAAGCAGCATCCCCTGTGATACCCTGTGTGTGGAAAGACAATTTTAATTTGTAAAATATATTAAAATTTCTACTCTACATACCCTTTACAGTTAAGGCAACCCCACTGAGGAGTAGAAACTGGTGACACAAGGGAGACAAGGTGTCTCAGAACAGGTTGTGTCCACAAAAACCAGGAGGGATTCATGGCTTGGGTCCACTGTAGTTTGTGCCATCAGTCCAAACTAGTGACATTTCCAATAGCAATGTCTGCAAAGCACCAAATATTACCAACTTTATACCAGTTCTCCTAGCTGACAGTCAACAGAAAAAACTAAAGGCTGTAGTAGCCAATGTGCATCTAGAGGAGCTGAGACAAAACTGCCAACATGAAAAATGCTCAGAATGGGTTTGACTTAAAGAAGGATCTACTTCTCTATCTTGTGCAGCCTGAATCTTTCCATTTTCATGCTGAGGATGTTTAGTCATAGTTGCATTGTGTTCTGTGACAAGAATGAGTTTTTGAAAGGGTTCGTGATCATCATATCTCACACCATGGTGTCATTTTACCATTTTCTGTCCAGCTCTCTCCAGTGGCATCACTGCAGCAATCTGTATGTGAACTTTTGCTGCCCTTCTGAAAGCAGCTGCACAAAATCTACAGGAATATCATCTGTTGTGTGCCCATGCAGGCAGCTGCACTATGGCAGTGCACCGTCCTTTAAAGGGCTGTGGAAAAGAACTGCTTACGTAGTAGATGAAAATGTGGCCCTGCTGAGGTATGGGAGAAGAAATACAGAGAGCAGCAAACCCACTCAGAGTTTGCTAAGCTCTGACAGTCTAGAGTGATGGGCTAGAGTCCTGGATAACCTTCAATCAAAGCAGTAAATCCACATACTTGTGTGTAAGATGTTGCACCAGTGTTTACCAAAAGTGGATGCTACATGCTCTGATGCACACCATCAGTGCTCAAGCACTCCCCTCTCTGAGGTATGGATAACATAAACTCATAGATAAAATATATGAGGATCAAATTCCTAAAGCAGCGTAAGTTCAGATCAGGATAAAAAGCATGTTTCAACTAGGCAGTCGTAGTGATGACCCACATGAAAGACTGCTTCCAACATAACAGTGACAGGCCTTGTGATTGTGGCACAACTTGGTGGAACGGGCTACTTTTATTAGTGTCCAAAATAGTGCACTGCAAATTAACTCTGTGTTTACTGACAGGAACACACACCGAGTGCAGGCATGCTGTGATCATTAGATGTGAGATAGTGGGGTCTTTCAGAGCTTGGCATCACTGCTTTTTAATGTTGGTATCAGCAATATTCTGCCAGTTCTCACAAAAGAATAATGGAAAGGGCCATCCATAATAAAGATCAATGGTAAAGGGCAGACAGCAAAAAGACAGTGGTGATTGTTCTGCAGACTGTGACTCAGACCAAGAAGCCTGTTCCTCTTTCTACCTGCTCAAAAGCCTTTGTGTGTTAACTTCTACAATATTAAACTAAAATATACTGGCATTCTGAAATATTTTGAAAGGCCCCAAGTCTTACGTACTGTGTATGTCTGTGATCAAGATGAAGGGTAGAAGCATCTTATTTGAGGCTTACATGGGGAAAACGCTCTTCTGCCATTGTGAAATAAAAAAGCCACCTCTGTGATAAAAGGAGCTCACTTGGATCATTAGACTAGAAATAGGGGAAAAGCAGTGTGACAAAGAATGGAAGAGCTATTGATAGGTCCCATCTCCTCCATGTATTTTGGAGGAGACTTTCTGCCTTAGTGTGACTGATAGATGTCCTGCTTTGCAACAGCATTCTCATGCCAGATTTCAAAACTGCAAATTTTATATTTGCATGTAATATAGGAATTGACAGGTCAATTTTTTAAAATCAAGTGTTCTTTGACACAGTTCCTCTGCAACCCAGCCTATTTGAATATGTAATGTCAAGAGGGGCTGAACCTCCTAAAAGTGTTCTCTATTTGTAGTTGTTGAATGTTGAAATTATCCATTTATTTTGACCAAAGAAAGCAGTGAGGTAATTTATAAAACAGCTGTTTACAGACATACAAGGAATTTGGAGCTGGTACAGCTGATATCACTAGAAGCATTGCAAAATGTCAAAATCTTGCTCACATGCTTAGTGACAGTAAGTCACAGTAGTCTGTTTTATGTCAAAGTTGAAAAGCAACAGCATCATACTCTGTCCACTTATAAGTTTCGAAAAGTACTTAGCGTGTATTGCACAAATGGAGTGGATCCTTTAGTTTGGCTATAAATATGTAAGTTATATATTTTGAGACAAACCAGTTAAAGAAGAATAATTTTTTTATTTTCTAACAATAAAATTTTCAGAGGTATGTGAATACCACATAGGCAATGAGAAAGTTAAACTTGGAAACAACGAAACCTTGCTCACATGAAAAATCATTGAGAATGTGAATGTTTGAAATTCTTCTTCCATGACTTAGATCTGGGATTCTTCTTCAAACTATTTTTTAATAATAAAATCACAGAATGGTTTCTGTTGGAGGGAACTTCAAGATCATCTACTTCCAACCCTGCTGGCATGGGGAGGGCAACTTTCTTCTAGATGGGGTTTCTCAGGGCCCCATCCAGCCTGGCCTTTATCTAGAAACATATTTTAGGCAGCTGGTCTTATGTGCTAGTAGGACATTTTGCCTTTGGCACCTGTTCATCTTACACCTGTATTAGAGGACCTTTCACATCCCATGTTGCTGCCTAACTCCTTATTTGGGTTTTCACTATATTGATGCCTGTTTTCATGACAGAAGATGTAATTGATTTAACATGATTTTTTCTCAGCAATATCACATTTGCTGTTACCTATGTTTTTTTTTTTTTTAACTTTTGGGACTTTTGATGATACACTGCTGTATATGCATTATTATTGTCTTACTTCTACAGGAATTAAAGTGAAGCTGATGAGCTTTGCCTCTTTTCCCAGCCTTTCAAAAACACATGCTATGTTTCTCTTTTCTAGACTGCCAGAGCTTTCTACACTTTTCCCAAATTTTAAGGCTTCCAGTTGATTCTGTCAGTATCACAGTCAATTTTTTCTCAGCTTGGACAGTTTTAAAACATCATACTGGCATAACCCTTCTCTTACTAGACCAAGTTTGTACACCCTTTTCTTTGTTGTTTGTTTTACTAACATCTGATCACTGTGAAAACCTTTAGGGAGGACTGAAACCAACCAGGTGTCAAACACTTTTTTTTTCTTGTTGTATCTGTCGGCAGATTGGGAGAGTAGAGAGGCAAAGCAAAAGCTTTGCCTTTTTCTTGCTGTATTTTCTTGTTATACCTCATTTCCTTTGTAGTCCTCTTTCATTTCATGCCTTTGAACTATTTGATTCTTGAGTGTATGGGAGAGCTGGCAGCATTGAAAAAGGTATGAGAGATCAGGAAGGAGCTGGATTGATCTTAATGGAGGGCTTGGAGAAAGATGAATGGGTAACAGAAGTGGATATCTTCTCCATCTGGTTCTGTCACCGTGGACAGAAAAAAAATGCCTCCACTGTCCTACAGGGGCACATACCTTAGACTTCAGTTTTGACTATGGAGTTGTCACATGCAGATGTGAGGAATGCAGACTGACACTAAGGGAAGTGAGCAGCAAATTTCTCTTGCTCACACCTGCCTGGGAGCTTTCTGTGCTCTGTGCTGTGTGTATGCAACTGCTGCATGGTGAATAGGCTTGCAAGTCAATTCAAACTGGTGGAAAGCCTTACATGGAAATATAATTATATACCAGCTGGCACGTTTTCAGAATCGCCAACTTACGTATGTGTGCAAAACCTGTGTCCCAAATCTAGTTACATTTTCTCAAATGTGTGGTGGGGTTTGGAACATAAGCACAGCATCAAATATATATTTTCGTATGTATAGGGAAGGAATCCCTTCTGCTGTTATGGGTTGGGCTGTGCATTTGTTCCATAAGGTTAATTTGGACACTACCACCCTTTAAAAGTAGCTAACAGGAGATTCTGTGTATGGACTGTGATTTTCTGAATCTGTTTTTCATGACTAAATAAATGTATTACCTTAAAATGTAGTGATTTTATGGAATTTGACATACGTCATGTAGATACTCATGAAATACAATATTTTTAAATTTCTTGGCTCAACTTGAGCTTTTTTTCTTTTTTTGCATAATGTCATGTATATTATATTGTTAATTTTTAGTTCATCAGGAGGTACAAAATCTCTCTGTATTGAAATTAAGGCTCTGTGAGGAGTTTGGCAAATTGTTCTGTAATGCAGGTCACAATCAGAATTGACCAGTCCTAGGATAACTTTTTACTGGTAAATAGAGTATCAATAAAAATTTGAAAGTATAAATTTGAAGTAAAATTTGAAAAGTTTGGAGTATTTTGTAGGTCTGAAACCATGATTTAGTATCTTGAAACCACACTTCTTAAGTCTAACAGAATGTAAATTTTCCAACTGTCTTAAAAATTAATTCTTCCTAAATCCATTTTTTCAGTGTTTAGCAATGACTTTCCCATGAAAACCTGGCGTGTAACTTTATGCTGAAGACAGCTCAAAATTAAATGCTATTTTTAAAATCTTATTCCAAAGTGAATTTAACAAGCTTCTTTTTTTTTTTTGTCTTGATGTCTTGCACAGGTATCGTTTTTCTTGTTCATCATTTTTGTGGTGTACACCATGCTGCCCTTCAACATGAGGGATGCTATAGTTGCCAGCGTCGTGACCTCTGCATCCCACACGATTGTGCTGAGCGTCTGTCTGTCAGGTACAGCTGTGGTAAAGGAGCACTTGGTTTGGCAGGTAGGTGCTCTCTGGAGTTAATGATTACATGTGCATCGAGTTGCCTGGTAAATGAGCCAGGAGTGCCTTAGTGGGTGCTTGGGAGTACAAACTTACTTCTGTCTTGATCTCTGAATTGCTAATTCACAGGTAATTCGCTTTCTAATAATGAGGGTGTCATTAATGTTATGTCTTCCTGAATTACACATGAAAGTGGCGGAAGCTACAGCCATGTAGCACTGAGAAAAGTTAAATTGCTTGAAAAAATATGAGATGCATCTGTACTATGGTAGGTGTCCTACCCCTCTGGTTTGTAAAGAATGTTGTTCATCTCCTCACCTCATTCAGGCCTTGCTTCCAAGACCAAGGATTTTTTCCAAGTAGCAAAATATTATCTTTGATGTTGTTCCTTTGAATACGCTCGAGTCAGCTGGGTTAAAGTTCTGCCGTGAAGACATTGCCCTCTACAAGTCTGCTCTAGGTTTTGTCCTCCTTCTGTAGTTCTCAGCCATTCATAGGAATTTTACTGCCTCACCCTCGTTGGTCCCAATGATGAAATGAGTCTGGCTGGCTACAGTCTCTAAGACATTTTAGGAACTCATCTGTGTTTGCAGTTGTGTCTTGAATTGTAACTCAGCTCTGAAATCTACCACATGACATCCTGAAGATTAATAATTTGTAAAAATCCAAATATTAGGAATTGTTTTTCCTTACTCTTTTGGAGAAGATATTTTAAATGGTGAATTATTATAATTTTTTAAAGAATTAATAATTATTATTGTAGTACTGTGACAATACCAGCTGACATTGATAGAAATTTGTGTTTTTTATGGAAAACATGAGATTTCATTCTGAAAAACAAAGATGTGTTTGGTTTTTTAGTATAGTTATGCCATGTTAAGGAAACAGAATTTTTTTAACTTTTACATCAAGACATTATACTATTTGTTATGAATAGTATTAAGAACAAAGCAAATAATAGTTTTGACTTACGTTCTGAGATACTTATGGCTTACTTTGAGAAACACTGTGCCTCAAAGTGATTTTACAAATGTCCTGCCTTGTAACTTGTTCAGGAAAATAGATTTTATTTCCAGTTATGGCTCCAGGAATGTGTTCTATGGAATACTGAAATTGAAATCTGGTAAACAAAATATGTTCTAAGATGTAATTCTCTGTTGAAATTTTAAATGATGAGCAAGGTAGTTTTGCTTTTCTCTTGCTGATTTGGATTACTTGAGTGTCTTTTTGTGAAGTTTGAGAAGTTGTGCTGTATGGTAAACAAGAACTGTGTTCATCTGCAGTTAATATAGTATTTAAATAATTCAGTAATACAGTTACTGATATCTGTAGTGGAAAAAATCAGGGAGAATATTACTCTTCAGTTTTTTGTTAACCTATGGCTTTTATTCCGGGCATTGATACATTGCCAAATCAGTATTAATGTTTGCCACTCCTCTAAAATTGTTTTGGGTTAAAGTTGCTGTTTGCAAAAACTATTTTTCTTGCCTGTCTAGACCATTAACATTTGGTATATCTAAAGCAATACTTTCAGAAGGTGTTGTATTTTTAGACACATCACCTCTACAGAATCAAAACAAATAAATCATCATCTGTGAGGCAAAATTATTGTCTTTCATCTCTTCTTTAACTTCCTGTTTCATTCAGAAGGAGTGGCAGTCTTTCCACAGTTTTAAATTTGTTAGGAATATTTAGTTTCTGTGTTGTTACTAGTTTTCTATTCTGTCTTTGTAAAATGTGCTAAGTGTTATGAACAGCTTGGCACTTATTGGAGGTACTGAGTGCACTGCATTCTTGTAAATTTTTGGGAAGAACTAAGTGATGCTCCCTCATTCCATTTCATTTGCCTTCTGTACATTTTTAGATTATTATTGTTTATACTTTGGAGTGTAAGCAAAAAGTGTTTGTTTTGTGCTGTTTGCTTTTAAAAATCAAGACCACAAATAAGGGCTTAGGCTAGGATAGAGATTTCTCTTCTTGATGGCACCAAGAAGAGAAATAACATTTGTCAATGATGTACCTTAAGTTCATTTAGGATATTATAGTATATATATAATCTTGATATGTAGCAAGCATCCTTCAGTAGAGAATACCTGCATCTCCCTTATAATTGCTTCCTATGTTTTGAGACTTCCATTGTATCTTCTCTGAGCTTTCTCTTGGCTGAACAACCTTTCTTTCAGTCTTTCTTCTTATGTCAGGTTCTCCTGCTCTATAATGCATTTGATAGGCCTTTGCTGGACCTTCTTCAGTTTTTCAGCAACTTTCAGTGACTGATTGGCATCCTATAGCATTTTAAACCTTCATCATACCTTCAGTGTATGAGAAAGAAAAATCGATGTCCCAAAGCACCTACTCATTTTGAAATTTGGCAGAGCCTATCTGACTGGTTTTGTCATTACTTTGTTATCCTCTGCAAGATTGTACATCAATAAAGTGGTTTCCTTAAAGCTGCAAAGCTTAGGATGCTTTTGATCCAGGGTCTGTTGCAATTACAGATACTGAAATGAAACCTCCTGCTGGGATAAAGAAGGATTCTTCAACAGACTCTGCTGGTTACATGAAGTAGTCTCTGTTTGACCTACATGTCTCCTGGGGAGAGGGAACACACCTTGGTTTAAAAATCGGGAATGATGGAGACGCGCTTCCACAAGCCTTCATATTTTTTCCATGGCTGTTGAGTGCCAGTGTTAGAATTCTGTTCATCTTTTGTATTAGGAATTTGTCTAGCCTTGTCATGCAGCTTCTGGATCTCATTTTTCTGGCCGGTAGGCTGACAGACCCAACAGGATCCAATTTCTGTTCCTTCCATGAGAGTGCTTGTAGACTACCATGAATTTGCCTCATAACCTTTTTGTCAGTAAAATAAACGAGCTGCCTGCTTTTGCACTAGCTAAGCCTTCCATCACTTTCACAGTTGTTCTTTGACTCCTCACTTGTGCTTCATCAACATCTTTCTTGCAGCGTGGGCATTTGCCTTTGGAGGAGCGTGCCAGGAGCAGCTGCAGCCGTGCCAAATGCTAATAGGGGCCATGTCTACAAAGGGGTCAGTGTGCTGTGTGCCAGCAGCACAGCAGACACAGCCTCTGCAGTGAAACACCCGGCTCAGCCTCCCGCGCTCCTGTGGGGAATGCAACGCACAGCTGCGGGACCTCTGACGGGAAGGGGGGAAAAAGACTCCTGTGTTCCAGCCTCAGTTTATGAAAAAAATGACTGTGTATGTATGTTCTGGGGTTTTTTTTTTTTCTGTTGGAAATTTTAATCCTAGCCTTTACAAGATGCACGGTCTGGAATCTGGGACTCTGCCCCCTCTTTCCAGGTGAGAATCCTACTGCCAAGGAGAGGATGTTGTTCTGTGTGCTCCAGGACTGCTCTAAGAGAACAGGACTCTAATTCTGATGTAAAGGCATTTGGCTCAGAAGACTTTCATAACTTTAACATCCCTTTCAGTTATTCCTGGAATGGAAAGTATTTAACTGCCATCTCTTCCTACAAACACATAACCTGTTTTCCCCCAAACCAGGACAGATTCTAATCAAACACTTGTGTTTTTCCTGTTCTATTATCAACTAGTCATCCAGTCTGATCTCTAAAATAGGCTTGATACTATCATTAGAGGTACTTTTTTTCTTAATCTGTTAAAAAAGTAGTAACCAAAATAATTAAACATCTTATAATCTTCCATTTTTCTTTTCCCCTATGATTTATGTGACAAGTCTGGTTTTTTTTTTTTAGTCTTTTAGTTTTACTTTCTCAGCAAGCAATATAGGTGCTCTTGCAATAATTTCTCATGAGCTGTGGCTAAGTGTTTTCCAAACCTTGGCTAAATCACTATAAACTACCTTTTTAATTTTTTTTAAGTAGTGTTTTTTACCTTAGAGGATTTTTTTGGTCGCTTCTTGCAGTTCTGTAAAAGAGTTTGCTTTTAAAAGCACACAATTATAGTCAGGCAGAATGCATGTGTGCATACATACAACTTCATATTGGCTTTGGACTATGTTCAGGAATGCATACACCAAAAGGAAATATGTTGTAGCAACTTCTATGAAAGTTTTTCTTTGTGTGATCTCATAGCCTTAAGATAATATTCTGTTGTGGTGGGAAAAAAAAAATGCTAAATGAAAAATTTATTTTCAGGAATGTTTGAAGTGGGAAATTCCACAGCATCATCCACAAGACCTTGTGCATTTGCCATCACTTAAGCTGAAGTCTCCTCTTACAAAATTAAAAATCAATAGTTATGGCCTATTCAGGAAAAAAATAAATAAACAAACAACAGTGAATTGAAAAAGGGAATTAGATTTATTAAAAAAAAAGAATTATCAATTTCTTCATCACTACACATCTTGAAACAAATTAGACTAAAAGCTCATCATCAGAAGTGTAGCATGATTTTCAAAGATGGACAGCTTTGGTTTTCATCTATAACATGCAACATATTATGCAAAAGGCATATACCTTTTGTTTAGAGCACTGATTTAAACTCATCTGTTAACTTAGTAAATTTAAGAGGTGATGATATTTGCAAAAACTGTTTTATGTAATAGAGTGGCACAGCAGAAAAATAAAAATAAAAAGCGCCAGTATTCATTGGCTTATAAAAGAAGAAAATGTACAGCTCTAGGGCTCAGAAATAGAGTAGAAATTGGTTTATGCTGTTATCACACAGTGCAAGAAAAAAAAATCATGTTTATTAAAAAAGTCTGGGAAAAAAGCCCATGTCTTTAAGTACATCCAGTGCTGTAAAACCCCTGAGGCTGTAAAGCTGCATAGTGAAAGTTTAAAGCACATAGGAACTTCATTCAGTCTGAATGTCAAAATGCTGTTACTGGGGGCTGAATTTATCCTTTTTCCTTGAATACCTTTTTCTTGAAGGAGATGGGGAAGGATTATTCGTGAAGGTAAAGCAGCTTAAACAACTGCTGCTTTCTGCTGCTCAGTTTCACGAGGTGAATCGCTGTTGTTCCTGCTGCAGGTGTGGAGGGCAATGACTGCCATGG